TGGTTCTTCTGCTGCTTCTGCTTCCTCTGCTGCAGATCCTTCGGCGATGGTTCCCCATCCAGTCTCAGCTGCAATAGCTTCTCCCAGCGCAATGTTCTCCATGATCCAGCGTGTGTCTACGGCGTCCCAACCCTCGGCGGTGTTCTAGCCGGTAGGTTGGTCAACGCGAGGCCAAATTGCTCGTGCGAAGCCTCCCACTCCCGTGTTCGCTGTTTCCGTCGTCGCAGCTGCCGTTTTTTATGTGATTTCGTCTCCTTCTTCCACCGCTTGTGGTCCAGTGTCCGCAGGATTCGTGGTCGAGGCGACGGGTAGCACGGAAGGTTCCGTCGAGTCCAGGCTGCTGGTAGTCTGTTTCTTCGGAATGGCTCCATCTTGGCGGTGACGGGTGACTAGGTGGATCAAGGACGAGGATGTGTTGGTTGTCGCCGGAGGACTTGGGTGACTCAAAGTCGAGCACAAACACTCCTTCGATGTTTGTAGCTTTCCCGATGAAGATTCCGTCGTATATTAACTGGAGTTCGTTTTCGGTTGCTTGCAGGCCGACTCCACACTTCATCAGCTGGTCAAGAGACAGAAGGTTGTACTGGAGCTCGGGTACGACGAGGACGTCGCTGATGTGGATGCAGTAGCCGGTGTCATATGATTCCAGTTGGATCTGACCGCGGCTCCTGGCATGGATGGTTTGGCTATTGGCGATGGTGATCTCCACCTCGTTGAAGAGTGCTTCGCTGTTGAGGATGAAGACACTTGACGACACCATGTGTTGGCTGCAGCAACTGTCCAGGTACCATTTGTTGACTTCTTTCCCTGCTTTCGCGAGATTGGCGAGCTTCGGAGTGATGTGATGCTCCATGTCGTGCTCGTTCTCGTAGTCGTAGTAACATCCTTCCTCGTCGTATGCGATGCGTGCAGGTGGTGACTCCTGAATCCACTGCGGCGCTTCCCAGTCTAACTGCACTCGTCCGACCATCAGCTCGTCGTAGGTTGGATCGTTCTCTTCTTCTTCTTCAACTGACCCTTCGGGCCGCTCCTGAGGCGGGTCTGCGAACATGTCCTCCCAGCTGCGGAAGAAACGGTAGTGACGGTTTGGGCGAGGCGGTCCTCGACGCACCATGCAAGTCAAGACCTTGCTTTTGCCCTTGTTGTTTGTGTTCGCAGAAATACGTCCCGGAGCGTGAGACGTACTGGCGATGGCTGCTAGTGACACTGTCTGGTTGCGTGCTGGAGCTCCTCCTTGCTGGTGAGTTGCGGCACCCTTCTGGCTGTTGTTGTTGCCGTTTAGCTTCCAGCAGTCTTGAATCATGTGGCCTGTCTTCTTGCAGTATTTGCAGAAGAGTCTTTTCTTGTCCGGTGGCGCTTGCGCGTAGAAAGCAATCTTCTCCTTCTTGTTGCCTCTTTCGTTGTACAGATCGATTTCCTTCTGCTCGGAGAGAAGCGTGGATCAGAGGGCAGTTTCGCGGAGGGTTCCTCGTGTGCGAAGAAGTGACTTGCATTGGCGCCATGCCGGGCTCAATCCAGTGAGGATGATAGTGACGAACATGTCGTCAGGGAAGTTGCCGCCGCTTTTCCTGAATTGGTCTCTCAGGTTCCTGCAGCGGTTGATGTATGGTCCGGCCTTTTCGCCGGGAAACATCTTGACATTGTTCAGCTGGTTGAGCAGGCGACTAAGTGTCACCGAGTCCGTTGCCATGTGGCAGGTGCGCAGGTGTTCCCAAGACTGTTGCGCGGGCGCCCACTCGTTTTTGAAGGGGCGAATGCTCAGCTGTTCTTCAGGCGACAGGTTTCGTATCAGGACGGTGAAGGCCAGGAGTGATTCGTTGTAGTACTGCGTTTTCTCCTGAGGTGAGCCATTGGTCGGAAATGCGTACAACCCGTCGTAATACATCCAGATCTGAGTGCCTTGAGCTAGTAGCTCAAATTCGAAGCTCCAGGTGTAGAAGTCTTGTCCGTCGAACGGTTTTGTTGTCCTGAGCTTCAACGTTGATAAAAACTTGCTCTGCATTGACGCCATTGCTTCGTAATGCGTCTGTTGTGCTTGTGCAGATCCTTGGGCTCCGCGGTTGTCAAAGGTAAAGGATCGTTCAGATCCAGCTCCTTGAGGATCGGGAGGTCTTCGGGCGTAGCTAGAGCCGTCGATGCTCATTGGCTGATGGCTCTCCAAGGCGCTGATGCGGGAGATCAGCTGCTCCAGTAGCGCTGTTTCCACGGTCGTTGTGGTAGAAGCGACATTGGTGGAAGGTTGTGTTGGGTTCTCTCCATTCTCTCCGCAATGTGCGCCCGGCATGATGTTGCCCTTGTTGTAGGATTAAGTTATGAAAAGAAGCTTGCTTTGAAGCCCCTTTTAGCAGTTCCTATAATCCAAACTAGCTCTCATACCATGTTAGAGTGAGGACCTTGGATAGGATAGGAATGCCTTAGAAGAGTTTGGTAGCGGAAGTCTTAGTTGTAGGAACTCTGCTCATAGTGAATGTAGATGACAAAGTTGATTAAAACAAAGATTACACACATAATAAATAGTTCCTAGCTAGCCATATACTCTGAGGGGTACATTCCCTTATTTTAACTGCTTTACAGGCATCTCTACAGTGACTCTGACTGTTGCACTACTTTCTTGTTACCGAGTCGCTGCATGTAACTTGTACATACGGTTACGCCTGTTGCCATTCCTCGATGGTAAGTCAATCGTCGGTCCAGATGGTCAACAGTCGCGACAGTTGACTCTTGCGACTGTTGACCTTCCTGCCCTTGATACGGGCTGATCCGATACTGCGGTTGTTGCTGCTTCGATAAGGACTAGTGCGATACTGCTGCACCTACGGGAATGCTAAGTGTAATTCCCTTCATACTCCAACAACTGTCACTGACTTTGCCTCCACCCGCCACCTTGACCACGCCTCAGTTGGCTGCTCCTGCTGCCCATCCTCAGTCCGTTGGGGTTGCTTCTGCCCAGGCCCTCAGATTCTTTTGAGAGGACCCTGATGCCTAAGGGCAAGTCCTTGGAAAAATGCACTGATTGTTCAAGAGAGCAGACGTGACAATACGGACAGATCATAGATCACTACAGTACCTCCGCGCCCAACCGAATCTCAATCCGCGTCCAACTTCCACTACACCGTCACGTGCAAAAAAGGCGCATCAAATATCACCGACGCACTCACCCGCCCTACCGCCCAACTTCACGCCATCCTACTCGCCCAAACCAACCCACTGTTAACAAGCCTATTCACCCACGGATATCGCACCGACCCAATTTTCACGACTGGAAATTCACAGCAACTGGCAGAAGCTAAGGGAGTCTATTACGTAAAAACAGGCACCAACCGCATCTGGGTATCCGCGTACTCACTACTGAGGGAACTGTTACTGCAGGAGGCACACGACGGGGTTACCTCGGGTCACTTCGGGGTAGAAAAAACGCGACAGCAACTGCAGCGGTATTACTACTGGTCGGAGCTGTTGACCGACGTACAGCACCACGTGGGCTCGTGTCCTATGTGTCAGGTGATGAAGAGCTCGCGAAAAAGAAAGGCGGGTCAGTTGCAGCCGATTCCACCGCCCGAGCGCGCCTGGCAGCAAGTTACCATGGATTTCGTCACAGGGTTACCTTCGAACCCTGGGGGCAGGAAATCGATCTCAGCCGAAGAAACCGCTCGCCTGTTCATCACAACCGTCGTTCGACTGCACGGGATACCAGCCGCAATCATCAGCGACCGCGACACGAAGTTCACCATCAACTTCTGGAAGAACCTCTGGGAGCAGTTCGGGACCATGCTACAGTTCAGCTCGTCGTACCACCCCGAGACCGACGGTCAAACGGAGTGGACGAATCAGACGATGGAGCAATTGATTCGTGCCACGTGCGACGACCCGACAACATGGGAGCAGCAGTTGCCGCTGATCGAGTTCGCATACAACAACGCCACGTCAGCGACGACGCAGCATTGCCCATGACGCCGAGTCCGGACAACCCAACGCCACGCGCACAGCAATTCGCCGAGATTCTGCAAGCTGCCCGCACCAGAGCCGCAGAATCAATTAAAAAAGCCAACGTCATCGCAAAAAGAAATGCTGACCGCCACCACCGCCCAGTCACGTACCAGTCAAGGGATTACGTACTGCTCGACACACAGAACTTAAGTCTGCCCATCGTACCCAAATTACGACCGCGCTACTGTGGACCATTCCAAATTAGCCACATGATCACCCCAGTTACCGCCCATCTACTGTCACCGACAGACTGGTACATCAGCCCATCATTCCACGTTAGCCTGCTTCGCCCTTACATCCCAACCACGAGCCAACTGCCTCGTCACCGCCCGCCATCCATGACTCGCCCTGCATCGGCGACGACCATTGAGCCCGAAAAGATTCTGAGCCATCGGATTTGACACCCCACAGGCATCAAGAGGATCGAGTTCCTCGTTCGCTGGAAGGACCGAACGCCAATTGAGGATAGCTGGGTGCCCCTGGCCAACATCGAAAACCACCCTGCCCTGCAAGTGTACCTGAGGAGCCGGGGTTTCCGCGATATACACGCACTCGCGTAGCGGAGGGGGCTTCTTGAGGGGGGGGTAGTGTAAGGATTTTTCTCGACATTCCTTACAGCGACCATCAACATCGCGTACAGCAGCAGCCTTTGTTCGATCGTTACTACTAACGGGGCTTCGCCAACTTCGCGCGCACTGTTTCACCAAACCTTGCACTGCTGGCCCAGCCGAGTCGGCCTACGCTTCGGGACTAGCCCGAACCTCCATGCCAGCGTAGCACTAGCTAGCTCGCACGCACCGCGTAACCGTTGCATGTTTTCGCACATAAGTATTCGCTCATGCCTTCGCTCATTCTTTGTACTCTTTTGACACTCTAGTGCAATCCTGGCTACTTCGTTCCATTGCACTTGTAACACTCGTCATTTTCTGCCAGGTGCGCAAATTCTGTTCTGGTTTTCGTTTTGCCCCATCGTCTTTTTCGTGTTGTGTTTCATGCCTCCTCCCTTCTCCCAGTTCTGTTTACTGTACTGTGGGTTCTTGTTTGGCACTCCCTCCTACCCCGTCATCGCTTCTCCTCCCCCACCACCTGTTGCCTCTCCCTCCCACCCACCTCGTCATCACCTCTCCCTCGCACCCACCTAATCGCCTCTCCCTCCCACCTTTCCGTCGCTGCTCCCTCCCACCCCGCCATCCACTCTCCATCCCACCCCGCCATCCCCACTCCCTCCCACCCACCGCGCCGTCGACTCTCCCTCCCACCCACTGTCGCCACTCCCTCCATCCCGCCGTCACCGCTCCTTTCCTCCCGCCGTCGCCGCTCCCTCCCTCACCGTCGTCGCCTCTCCCTCCTCCTCGCCGTCGCCTCTCCCTCCCATCCCGCCGTATCCTCCCCCTCACTCCCCGTCGTCGCCTCTCCCTCCTCCCCGCTGTCGCCTCGCCATCCCATCCCACCGTATCCTCCCCCTCACTCCCCGTCGTCGCCTCTCCCTCCTCCCCATCGTCGCCTCTCCTTCCTCCCCGTCGTCGCCTCTCCCTCCTCCCCGTCGTCGCCTCTCCCTCCTCCCCGTCGTCGCCTCTCCTTCCTCCCCGTCGTCGCCTCTCCCTCCTTCCCGTCGTCACCTCTCCCTCCTCCTCGCCGTCGCCTCTCCCTCCCACCCCGTAGTCGCCTCCGGCGACAGGTGCACGAGCGCAACCGCGAATTGGTGCGAGAGCGCGGGTTGGTGCGAGAGCGCGGGTTGGTGCGCGAGCGCGGGTTGGTTTCTGGCACCGTGGTTATCAGGTGTGTTCCCGGTCTTTTCATCCTCCCCTCCCCTCTCTGAAATTCCTATTTTATTTTTGCTCCCGTCGTAAGTTTTGCGCCTTAGTCTCTTGCACCCATTTGAAGAAGGACTGAGAGGGGAGCGCGAGGTAGAGCGTGCGCACGAGAGCGAGCACGCAAGAGATTGCGTGTGAGAGCCAAGAGAGGGTGGCAGAGCATGCAGGTGGGAGCGTGTGAGGGAGAGGCAGGAGCGAAAGTACCCGTTCGTGCTTGTGAGAGAGCGTGTGAGAGAGCGCATGAGAGAGCGTGTGAGAGAGCGCGTGAGAGAGCCCGTGAGAGTGCGCGTGAGAGTGCGCGTGAGTGATCGCGTGAGAGAGCGCGTGAGTGATCGCATGAGAGAGCGCGTGAGAGAGCCCGTGAGAGTGCGCGTGAGAGTGCACGTGAGTGATCGCGTGAGAGAGCGCGTGAGTGATCGCGTGAGAGAGCGCGTGAGTGATCGCGTGAGAGAGGCGTGAGAGAGCCCGTGAGAGTGCGCGTGAGAGTGCGTGTGAGAGTGCGCATGAATGATCGCGTGAAAGAGCGCGTGAGAGAGCGTGTGAGAGAGCGCGTGAGAGTGCGCGCGTGAGAGTGCGCACGTGCGAGAGCGCGTGAGGTAGCGCGTGAGAGAGCGCCTGAGAGAGCGCGTGAGAATGCGCGTGAGAGTGCGAATGAGAGTGCGCGTGAGAGTGCGCGTGAGAGTGCGAGTGAGAGTACGCGTGAGAGTGCAAGTGAGAGTTTGAGTGAGAGTGCGCGTGAGAGAGCGCATGAGAGAGAGCGCGTGAGAGTGCACGCGTGAGAGTGAGCGTGAGAGCGCTCGCGAGAGTACGAGCGCGTGAGAGGCGCGTGAGAGAGCGCGTGTGAGAGCGTGTGAGAGTGCGCGCGAGAGAGCGCGTGCGAGGGCGCGTGCGAGGCGCGTGAGAGAGCGCGTGCGAGGGCGCGTGCGAGGGCGCGTGCGAGGCGCGTGAGAGAGCGCGTGAGAGAGCGCGTGAGAGAGCGCATGAGGGAGCACGTGTGAGAGCGCGTGAGAGAGCGCATGAGGGAGCGCGTGAGTGGGCGTGAGAGAGCGCGTGAGAGTGCACGTGAGAGAGCGCGTGAGAGAGCGCTTGTGGGAGCGCGTGAGAGAGCGAGTGAGAGTGCACGTATGAGAGCGCGTGAGAGAGCGCGTGTGAGAGCGCGTGAGAGTGCGCGTGAGAGTGCGCGTGAGAGTTGTCAAACATTGTATGTGTTATATTTGTGTAGGCTATTGTGGGTTAGCCTCTAGGGGGTACAGAACTTTAGGTTTGTCATACTTGTACTCTCATTCTGCTGCTAGTCCATCATCCTCGTTCTCTCTCTGTTTCTAACATGGTATCGCGAGCCTAGGTCGTAACCTAGGACCGAATCGATAGGGCCCACCGTTCCGCTAGAAGCGACCTCGAGCGCCGTATCTCCTTAGCGCCCTCGAGCGCCTCTCTCCTAGTGCGCCCTCGTGCGCCTCTCGTCCTCCTGCTGCCCGTGCGCAGCTCGCTAGTGCCGCGCGCGGCCCGTTTTTTTAGCGCGCGCCGACCCCTAGCCGCCCGCGCGGCCCGTTTTTTTAGCGCGCGCCGACCCCTAGCCGCCCGCGCGACCGTCGCCGCCCACGAGCAGCCCCCTAGCCGCCCGTTGCCCGCTGCCCAGAGAGTCGCAGCCCGCCCTTAGGCCGCCGCGACACCCCACTAGGCCGCCGCCGGCGCGCTAGTATGGCCCCCGCACAGCCACGGCCCGCCCGCTACAGCCGCTCACGCGCACGCCCCCCGTCGCGCCCCGCCACGTAGCCCAGGCCGAACCGCCCGAACCGAGCCGAGCCGCCCGAACCGAGCCGCGCCGCCCGAACCGAGCCGCGCCGCCCGAACCGAACCGCGCCGCCCTGGCCGAGTCGCGCCGCCCAACTGTGCCCCACCAGCTACTACTACTGCTACTACTGCTACAGTTGCTACTGTTACTCCTGCTACTGCTACTGCTGCTACTTCAACTATGGCTAGCCCCTCTGTACTAGCTTTCGATGCTGAGGGCCGCCCACTGAAGTTTGAGACCTGGCTCGATGACCTGCACCTATTCCTCCAGCTCACTGCCAAGGAGGATATCTCACTGTACGATCACGCGCTAGGCAATGCTGCTGCCCCTGCTGCTACTGCTGACAGTACTGCCCGTTCACAGTGGCAGACTCGTGACGCCCACGCTCGCTTTGCTATTCGCAACTCCCTGCCGGTAGATGAGTGCGAGCACTTTGGCCAGCACAAAACTGCGCAGGCACTGTACACTGCTGTAGTTGCACGCTACTCCTCACCTGCCTCTGCTGCGCTAGGCCGTCTCTCGCTCCCCTACCTGTTCCCAGACCTGTCCTCTTTCGCCACAGTCGCTGACCTCACCACACACCTCCGCACTAGTGAGGCTCGCTTCCGTGCCGCTATGCCCGCTGAGTTTCTTGCCACCCACCCCCCCTCGCTCTGGCTCACTCTCTACCACCTTGTCACCCGTCTCCCTGACTCTCTTCGTGCGGTCAGGGACCACTTCCTCGCTCGCTCTCCCACTGAGCTCACCATAGACCTGCTCGAGAAGGAACTGCTTGCAGCCGAGACTAGCATAGTCGCTGTAGCTGCCTCTCGTGGCGACCCCCGCACCCCTTTCTTCGAGGGGTGTTCCCCTTCCCCCCTTCTCCCCTCTGTCGCCTCTGCTGCTGCTGTCGACCTAGTTGGTACTGAGCAGGTCGGGACTGCGTCCGCTCCGAGCTGGCGCCGCACCGGCAAGGGCAAAGGGGGCAAGGGAGGTGGAGGTGATGGCGGGGGAGGTGGTGGTGGGGGCGGTGGCGGTGGTGGGGGTGGTGGCGGGACTGGAGGGGCTAGTGGCAGTGGTGGGGGTGGAGGCGGCAGCAGCGGAGGAGGTGGCCGGGGTGGGGGCGGTGGTTGGGGAGGCGGTGGACGCGGAGGCGGCAGAGGCGGTGGTGGTCGAGGTGGTGGCGGCGGCGGTGGTGGTCGTGGAGGCGCTGGCGGTGGCCAGAGCCAGCAGCACACTCCGTCGTCCCAGGAGCTTCGTGAGTGGTACTCTCAGCACGGGGGGGGGGGGGTGGCCTTAGCTGTACGTACGTCATCCGCACTGGTGACCGCACTGGCCAGACGTGTGGGAGGGCGCACACCACGCAGCGCTGCTTCTCCCGCCTTGACGACGCTTGGCGCACTCAGTTCCCTGCTGCCACTGAGCTGCCCCGCTGGGCTGAGCTGATGAAGAAGAACATTGATATCTATGCTCTTGACTTTGATGCTATTCTCACTGCCATGTATGTGTTGTCTACTAGTGGAGAGGGTGATCAGTACCTGCGTGTTCCGCCCGACCCGGGCATTCGGACTAGTGAGGCTGCCGCTCTAGGTGCTTGATTGTCTGCTGCCTCAGGTGCTGGTGAGGCTACTGCTCTAAGTGCTCGCGTGTCTGCTGCCCCAGGTGCTGGTGAGGCTGCTGCTCTAGGTGCTAGTGAGTCTGCGCCCCCTGGTACTGAGTCCACTGAGGCACTGCACACCTTCACTCTAGACTCAGGAGCTTCTCGCTGTTTCTTTCGTGACCGCACTGCCCTTGAGCAGCCTGCCCGGCCAGTTGCTGTCTCCCTTGCTGACCCCTCTGGGGGTCCGGTCATTGCGACCTCCTCCACTGTCCTTCCTTGTCCTGCGGTTCCGTTGGGCACACTGTCCGGTCTCCACCTCCCCTCGTTCTCTACGAACTTGGTGGCGGGTTGTGCGCTCCAGGACGGGGGTGTCCACCAGTTCACCCCTGCCTACGAGCGCGTGACACACTGCACGTGTGCTCGGACGGGCCGTCACCTGGCTACCTTCACTAGGCAGCCGGGGTCGGACCTGTACACACTGACCACTGAGTCCCCTCAGGTAGCTGCGTCTGCGTCTGCATCAGGTCAGCTGTCTGCCCCCTGCTCGTGTCGCTCTCTGGCGCACGAGACTGTCCTCTGGCACCACCGCCTTGGTCACCCGTCAGTGCAGCGCCTTCGTGCCATGCACAAACGGTACCTTGTCTCTGGTCTTCCCCGGGTACTCCCTCCCCTCCCACCCTCGCCTGCTCCTCCCTGTCTTCCTTGTATCGAGGGGCGGCAGCGCGCCGCTCCTCACTCCTCCTCGTTTCCCCCGACGACTACTCCCTTGCAAACGCTCCACATGGACGTGTGGGGCCCAGCCCGCGTCCGTGGACAGGGTCAGGAGAGGTACTTCCTGATCGTTGTTGACGACTACTCGCGCTACACCACGGTCTTCCCCTTGCGCACCAAGGGTGAGGTCCCTGATGTTTTGATCCCTTGGATCCGCGCTTCTCGTCTCCAGCTCAACGAGCGGTTCCACTCGGACTTTCCTGTCCTGCGTCTGCACTCAGACAGAGGTGGCGAGTTCTCCTCCGACCTCTTGGCGGCCTACTGTGCGGAGCACGGTATCCGCCAGTCGTTCACGCTTCCGGTCTCTCCACAGCAGAATGGGGTTGCTGAGCGCCGCATTGGCTTGGTCATGGAGGTCGCTCGTACCTCCTTGATCCATGCGGCTGCCCCCCACTTTCTGTGGCCGTTTGCGGTCCGATACGTTGCGCATCAGCTCAACCTCTGGCCCCGTGTCTCCTTGCCGGACACCTCGCCCACACTGCTGTGGACGGGGGAGGTTGGCGATGCGTTGCGTTTCCGGGTCTGGGGATCTCGAGCTTTTGTCCGCGATACGTCCGCGGACAAGCTCTCCTCCCGCGCTGTTCCTTGTGTCTTCCTTGGCTTTGTCCCGGACGCGTTTGGTTGGCAGTTTTACCACGCCACCTCGCGCCGTGTCCTGCCCTCTCAGGACGTCACTTTTGACGAGTCGGTGCCCTACTACCGCCACTTCCCCTACCGCACTGCCCCGCTCCCCCCCCCGCCTCTCTTCCTCGCGCCAGGTGCTGCTGTGGTAGACCCCCTCCCCCCTCAGGGTGCCGCTCCCTCAGGTGTGTCCCAGATAGACCCGGTTGAGCCTGTCGAGGTAGCTGTCGACTCTCGTC